ATCTGCAATCAGAATTTATAGAGAAGAAAAGGAAACAGTTGGAATGCAGGGGTCCCTCTGGTATAGACACTCCAGGGCTCCGAACTTTATTAGGGGCAGACTTATGTACCTTACCTCCATGCAGCCTGCAACATGTGGCAGGTTCTGAACAAGGGGGCGGTTTGAAATTTGAAGGTTTACAAAGAAACATTACTACATCAGCCAAGTTATTCACAGGCGGGAGGGGAGGATGAGGCTGGGAACAGGAAGTAACTGATAAGTTTGCAGACTGCTGCCTGCTGCAGCTTTGGTCCGGGAACAGGAGGCAAGTGTCCGTTTATCCCAGGCAGAGACAGGACAGCGGTGCTTTCTCAGCAACCGTGGCTGAGCTATCAGCTTTCTCACATGTGCCATGAACCATGGAAGGTGGTGGTCCCGTCCGATTTGCCTAAGAGTAAACAACTTTCCCCCCACGGTAGTTAAGGTTACTAGTTTAACAACTCTAGACTGTCCAATGACCACACTTCATTCCTCGCTGCTTTGGGAGCACACGTGCGCAACCAAGGCTCTGTCTCAAATGGTTTAGGGAGAAACAAACAAGGTGGAGGGCGGTGTCATCTCCAGTAACATCTGCTTCTGACAAGCCCCCCCAAGAGACAGATCAACTTTGTCTTCTGAAAATTAGTTTAACAGCTGATGTTAATATTTTAACGTTTGGGGTTGAGGGCTATTTTTTAAAAAGAGATTTACTTCTGCGGGAGAATGAAATATCGTTCTAGTTGAAGATTGAAGTCTATCTTTAAAATAGAGGTTAATATCATGGAGAACAATGTGAAAAATATTAAGCCATGGATTGTTAAGAAGAAGAGACTTCAAAAATATCGTGTCAAATGGATTTTCCACGAGCTTTTTTGAAGCCCCTTGTGTGCCTAGCAAACATGATTTCAAGTTTCTCCCAGCAGGGGCGCCCTGATGCCCCAAAACAAAGATCTGGACTGCGATTGTGGCTTTCAAACACACCTGTTCATGACTCACGCTGTTGCCCAGTGATGGTTTTCTCAACTCTCTGGGTTCTGGTAGTTTCATCTACAAAAGGAGAGAATTGGACTATTCGAGACTAGATGACTTCTTTTTTTAAACAATCCATCCATCCATCCATGCGTCAAGCACATTTGAACATTTGTTGCCATCATCATCTTCAAAACATTTCCTTTTTACCTGAGCCCTTGGTATTAGCACTTCATTTTTCCCCTCTTCCCTTCTCCTCCCTCCCTCCCTCATAAACTCTTGATACTTTATAAATTATTATTATTTTTTCATGTCTTACACTGATCGATGTCTCCCTTCACCCACTTTTCTATTGTCCATCCCCCAGGGAGGGGATATATGTAGATCCTTGTGATCAGTTCCTCCTTTCTCCTCCACCTTCCC